GTGTACATATACCACAGTTTGTTGATCCATTCGTGGATCGATGGGCACTTGGGCTTCTTCCATGACCTGGCAATTATGAATTGGGCTGCAATGAACATTCTGGTACAAATATCTTTATTGTAGTGTGATTTTTTTGTCCTCTCGATATATACCCAGTATAGGAATTGTAGGATCAAATGGCAGGTCTATTTTTAATTCTCTAAGTGTTCTCCAGATGTCTTTCCCAAAGGGACATATTAGTTTGCAATCCCACCAGCAGTGTAGAAGTGTTTCCTTTTCTCCACAACCACGCCAGCATCTGTGGTTTTGGGATTTTGTGATATGGGCTAATCTTACTGGGGTTAGATGATATCTCAAAGTAGTTTTGATTTGCATTTCTCTGATGATTAAGGATGGTGAGTATTTTTTCATATATCTGTAGGCCATGTGCCTATCTTCTTCAGAGAAGTTTCTCTTCAAGTCCCTTGCCCACCCCGAGATAGGATCACTTGTTCTCTTCTTGCTAATACATTTAAGTTCTCTGTGGATTCTGGTTATTAAACCTTTGTCAGAGACATAGCCAGCAAATATCTTCTCCCATTCTGAGGGCTTTCTGCTTGCTTTACTTACTGTGTTCTTGGCTGTGCAGAAGCTTTTTAATTTGATGAGGTCTCAGTAGTGTATTTTTGATGTTGCTTCAATTGCCTGGGGGGTCCTTCTCATAAAATATTCCCCAGGCCGATTTCTTCAACAGTTTTCCCTACACTTTCTTCAAGAATTGTTATAGTTTTGTGTCTTCAGTTTAAATCTTTAATCCAGTGAGAGTCTATCTTAGTTAATGGTGAGAGGTATGGATCCAGTTTCATTCTTCTGCAAGTCACCAGCTGTTCATCCAGCACCATTTTTTAAATAGGGAATCTTTTCCCCACTCAATTTTTAAAATTGGCTTGTCAAAGATCATACAGCACTAAGTAGCTGGGTTCATCTGTTGGTTCTCTATTCTGTTCCATACATCTACATCTCTGGTTTTGTGCCAATACCATACTGTTTTGATCACTATGGATTTATAGTATAGTCTGATGTCTGGTAGTGTGATTCCTCTTGCTTTGTTTTTATTTCTGAGTAATGTCTTGGCTATTTGAGGTTTTTTCTGATTCCATATAAAACAAAGTATTATTTTTTCAAGATCTTTAAAGTATGACAATGGAACTTTAATAGGGATTGCATTAAAATTGTATATTGCTTTAGGTAGTATGGACATTTTAACAATGTTAATTCTTCTCAGCCATGAGCATGGTATGTTTTTCCATTTGTTAACATTTTCAGCTATTTCTTTTCTTAGGGTTTCATAGTACTCTTTATAGGGATCTTTCACGTCCTTGTTAGGTAAACTCCCAAATATTTCATCTTCTTTGGCACTACCATGAACAGAATAGAGTCCCTGACTGTTTTTTCAGCTTGGCTACTGTTGGTATATATGAAGGCTACCAATTTATGAGTGTTGATTTTGTAACCTGAGACGCTGCTGTATTCCTTGATCACTTCTAAAAGGTTTTTAGTAGAATCCCTGGTGTTTTCCAGATATACAATCATGTCATCTGCGAAGAGTGAAAGTTTAAACTCTTCTGATCCTATATTGATACTCTTGATTGCCTTTTCTTCCCTAATTTCAATGGCTAAAACTTCCATTACAATGTAAAAGAGCAGTGGAGACAATGGGGAACCTTGCCTGGTTCCTGATCTGAGTGGAAATGATTTCAATTTAACTCCATTCAGTACAATATTGGCTGTGGGTTTGCTGTGATGGTCTCTACCAATTTGAGAAATGTCCCTTTTATGCCAATTTTCTTAAGTGTTCTGATCATGAAAGGATGGTAGATATTATCAAAAGCTTTTTCCGCATCAATTGAAAGAATCATATGGTCTTTGTTTTTTAATTTGTTTATGTGTTGAATTACATTTATAGATTTATGTGTGTTGAACCAGCCTTGAGATCCTGGGATAAAACTCACTTGGTCGTGGTGTATAATTTATTCGATGTGTTGCTGGATTCTGTTTGTTAGGAATTTATTTTATTTTATTTTATTTTATTTTTGAGACAGAGCCTCAAGCTGTCCCCTTGGGTAGAGGGCCATGGGATCACAGCTCACAGCAACCTCCAACTCCTGGGCTCAAGCGAGTCTCCTGCCTC